CAGAAAACCTCGAATTATGTACGTAGGTTGCCTTTTATATTTCGGGATAGTGCAAAGGATCGGTAGCGAAGGAGCCGGATACCGCAGATATAGCCTAATGATACTATTCTATTTCGAGGGCAATGCCCAAACACTGATTTGCAGAGTTACCAGTAATCCAAAAGAAACCAGCAACCAAAATCCAAAATCACTTGAAATGTGGTCAACAAAAGCTTCGACGGACGGACGGAACCTATTCATTGAACTTTTACTTTTACTGTTATAAAGAAACGCACAAAAACCCGATGTATAATACAAAGTAAAAAAACTGTGAAAATGACGGAGAACGCTGCTATTATTAAAAGCAAATCGAGATTGTAATACGCGATGTATCCAAGATTTCTGCCAGCGGCTCTCAGTTCTGGTAGATTTCCAAACTCGGCAGCAAGTTCGACGGTTTTCACCAGTTTCTCTCCAGGACTGAATGGCCGCCGTGCCAACAGCCGGCTCATTCGAGTAGCAGCTGTTTGATATCTGAAATTTCTCACCTTGTCCAAGTGTGTATGCCCATACACCCTAGCCTTCCCATTTTTGACAGGAATGTAAACTACGGCACTCACTTGGAATCGTTTAGAATCCGTTCAATTGCACTGCGTAGCACATTACTATTGAGTAGACGAGCTTTCTCCACAAGCACACCTAAGTATAATAGATTATCTGTTTTACCAGTGCCTTCAGAATCTTCGGCTCTTGGAATCGAATCAAAATGAACATTTCAGACTACATTACTTATTCCACAAAAAACTCTATGTAACTCGCGAGCACAGGTCACCCAGATGCTTACACCGATTCCTCTCCTGACCTGGTTGCTATGGATCCGTGAGTTTACGTTATATGGTAGCCATATCTTTCCAGAAAAAGGCGGCTTGAAGCGAAAGGTCTGCACAGTATAGTAGAATCAGGGTTCCAGCTCACTGATCCAACATTCTTTGCTTGCCTGCTGAGCGTTTTGAGAGCGGAATGGCGAAGAGTTTTTCGGAAAGACAGGGGAGAGAACGAAAAAGCCCGTGTTTTTAGGATGGGGACACACTTTCGTGTGATTATGCTCAGTTGGAGTGACCTACAGATGACATGGGGTGCAGCAGTCAACCACGTTCTGCTTCACCGCACGTCGGCCAGATGAGTCGGATTGTTTAACTAAAAGAGGAATTCCTTAGAACGCCAGGGAGGCGTAGTTGAGCAAACCTCTACATTGTATAATACCATTCAATTGCATAAGGGGGACCATCAAGGACATCTTGTCTAGATCTTGTCCTCTTTCGTTACTGAGGTCGGAGGTCGAGTTTTTCGGTTCCACTTGAACAGTCAACAAAATTGTTTGAGGATGTGATGGTGAAAACGAGATAAATCTCAAATTTAGACGAACCCTAGCTCTTCATATCCTTCAAATGCCTAGTCCACTCACCAAAACCAAACTTCTCCATGAGCTTTGCATTCCGCGTCTGATCACCAAATAAAGGAACGACAATAAGTGGCTTGGCTCGAAGTGCACTCTCCATCATACTTCCAGCACCGCCGTGAGTTATGAAGAGTGTTAGACGTTTATCGGCTGAATTTCCCAAAACAAATTTCCGCGCAAAGTTTTTTTTACATCACATTACAAGCCGTTCTTCGTTACTCTTCTTCGAATTGAAAAGCGTAGATCAAACGATGTCACGATTTCTTACTTGTCGGCTTACTATCAGATGGCTTACCTAGTAAGCAGCTTTGTGGTGTCCATTCTGAAGCGATTAGATTGTCTATCCCCTTGAACATGGCATCGTTCGGTTCTTCATACTTCCAAATAAAAGTGATGTTCGGGAAACTGCAACGTTGAAGTAGTTTATGAGAATAACCATCAATGACTTCCAAGTAACAATGACATTGAATCAATTGGTTAATAAGTTCTGACTAATTTTTGTCAAAGTGGAGAAGTACGCAAGATCTCAACAACGAGAATTTAAATTGAAATATCAAACAGCTAGCTAGTCATTCGCATTTATACTTTTCTTCTCCCAAGAAATGGTCCTCTAGAGCTAAGGGGCCTACCTCCCCCACCTCATCTACATTTAGAATGCTACGTGAATTACCAAAGAGATTCCTACGCCCAGAACCAACGATTCTTCCTGTGTTTCATCCTTTGGAAAGAAAGTCCTAAAATTAAGCTGAATCCTTCATGTCCTTCAAAATCATAAAGCAATTTTCGTTGTAGCCGGGGATCTCTTTCGTTCAGAGCAATTTGTTGGTGGATTAGAAACTTAATAGAAACGCCTCTTCTATGAATGCGCTTCAAGTCACGCGTGGCCTGTTTTCTTCCCACATTACTTACTTCCGGCCCCAGTCCTAGAGAAGCACTCTGGACTGCTCAATTGCTTGTTGAAAAATGAGGGAGGTGGGTAGGGTCGTTTCACGTACATGTCACAACGCAGACCATTACTATCAACACACTACAGCTCTGAATAGGAGATGTTTTTGTTTATTGGTCGATTGTTACCGATCTATCCCCGATGTTAATCTTCTAGAAGAGTAGGAATTGCTGGCTGTGATTGTTGAGGAAATAGAGTGCCTCATCCCACAATAGATCTTAAGTAGAACGCAACTGTACCTCCCTTATCACCACCAGTTTAACCAAAACTATAAGCTTCTCCTATTGACCCGATCAAGAGTTTTTATGGAACTTACGACTTGACGACGTTGATGATGGCCTTCTTCATTGACTCGGGCATGAACTTGCTCTGCGCTACTGTACCGAACGAAATTAGAATTGTTTGTTTTCTAAGATTGAGAATTCGATTCCATTCCTGAAAAACAACTTTCTTGTCTATTCAATCAGATTGTCCCTAGGGCATGGTCAGCAGATCGAAACCAAACTTCGTCCAACGGTTTTGGCTCATGTACTCCGATCCCTCCAATGTCGATAATTTTGCGCAACGTTGGTCCTTCAAATTCCATCAATGGTTCGGAATTCACAAGCACCCATGATATGTTTGACACAGTGTCCTGCAAGTGAGTTGTTCTCGATGTTATCCCTCAGGTTACGGTATGTCAAGTCAGTTTCCCGTAATGTAGGTAGAGGAGAAATTGCGCCATCGCAATCGTCTCGCCAAAATTAGGCTATTGCGCCCCGCTACGGAAGGTAATCATGTTAAGACTCTCCCAGTTCGAAAAGGCGTTCACCGGCAATCAAAAAATCAAGGTTTGCCTCTTCCCTTTCATTTTTACGTGATGACGCCAAGGAGCGAACGGAAAGAAAAGAGAGACAACAAAACGCTCCAAACATTGCGAAAAAGACCAGAGAAGCGCCTCATTCAAAACGATCGTCCTGATTATTATTTACATGATTTCGGAGCGAGCATGGAAGTTCCTGGCCAATTCCAATTGCATCCGTCGAACGCGGTAACTTACTTTCAGCTCGGACATCACAATGTTCCCCGTCCCCCGACGCTCTGATAAAATGAAGTGGGAGCGGGGCCTCAGTGTTTCACTAAGTTCTCAGGAGCTCAGGATTCCTCTTCCTTTTCTACCACCCAAATAGAAAATTTCCGGTAGATTCCTTTATTACTCAAGACACATTTTTGCTGCTGAGTTGCCGAAACAAGTAACGATTCGAGCAAAACAGACAATACATTTTTAAAACCATTTTGCGAGTGGCTTTGGTATGAAAACGACCCAGCAACCTACCCAAACTGGTGTGACATTTGGCCCAAGTTTCTTTTTCATTACTCGATCTGCAGCACTTGCGATGCCTGTCTGGAAATACCATGAGAGACATGTGAATAAGAGGTTTGTTGCACGTGTCCATAAATCAGTTGAGTCGTTTGTGACACCGAGAGAGGCTGAAAAAAGCAAAGATTTTTTCAGACTCGTTTCATAAAAAAAATTAAGGTGAGTGATGTAAAAAAAACGTTGTGCTTTCTCCATCCTGCCTTCCTGATGTGGCGACTGAAAGGGTGCCTCAGAATTGTGTTAGAGGGCATCCTAGGGTCAGGGAGTTATGGAAGGTAAGGATAGTATGAGGATAAAGCTGAAGCGTAAATCCGCTCGATA